TCTTCGGCTGGAGGTCGCCCCCAAAGCCCAGACTGGGCCTCCCCGGGTGGACAAGGTTGGTGGCCTGTGTGCTGGTTTGCCTCTGTCCATGGGCTCTAGGCACAAGTGCAGATGGGGAGGTCACACCCTGTGAGGGCCTCAGGGAATGTGCGAGGCCTAGGAGCCTGGCTCACCCCATACTCTCTGCAGGTGACCCAGTGCTACTTCGAGGGGGGTTACCAGGAGACCCCTGTGTACCTGCTAGGGGAGCTGGGCTATGGGCACCAGCTGCAGGGGCCCTGCCTCATCATTGACAGCAACAGGTGGGCTGAGACCTGGCCTGGGTGGAACCTTGGAGAGGTGAACTATAGGGCCCCTGGTGAGGGTTCTTAGGCCCATGGCTGCAGGGGCCTGAGGGACTTGGGGGGTCCCATAATCAGGGTGTCCCCTGGCCTGAGGCTGTGGGTCCCTGGTTGGGAGAGGTCTCTGGCCTGGCCATTGCAGCCCCTTTGTGCCCCCTGCCCCCAGCACCATCCTTGTGGAGCCCGGGTGCCAGGCAGAGGTGACCAAGTCAGGGGACATCCGCATCTCTGTGGGGGCTGAGGCCCCCAGCACAGTGGGCACTAAGCTTGACCCCATCCAGCTGTCTGTCTTTTCACATCGCTTCATGAGCATTGCTGGTGAGTGGCTGCTACTGTCCTCCCTACAAGCTTGGCTGACCTTGGTATAGGGCATGGGGGCTCTGTGTACTGGCCAGGGGTAGGTACAAGTGGGGTGGCTCTTGCTACTTGTAGTGGGCTAGCAGGTGGGTGCCAAGGGGAAACATGAGCAAGGGGAAGAGCAGTTTTCCTGTGGGTCAAGGGGTGATGGGTATGGCTTTGGCCCTGGGATGGCACCACCTGCTACAGGAGCAGTCCTCAGGCAGGCAAGTGTCTTCTCCTCTTATCAGGATCTGAGGATATCTAGGAACTGAATCCTGAGGCCAACACAGCAAGCTCACCTGTGCAGAGTCAGGACAGGGACTTTTGTGAGCCTGGGGGCGGGGGTCTGTGCCTGGGCACCAGGTCCCTGCTGTACAGGTCAAGGGGAGGCCCCAGGCTCTTGCTGGGAGCTCCATGGAATTGAAGAGGAAGGTGATGCCCTTCACGTAGACCAAGACACACTGTGGCTGTACTGCCCCGGTGGATGTGCTGCCACCTGGTCTTCCTCAGGGCATGGGAAAAGTTGCTGGGCCCTGGGTTTGGGTTTGAAGGCCTTGACCCCATGGGGCCTCCTTCTCCCTTTCCTGGAGCCATGCTGTGGGTGATAGAACCAGCGGGTACCTGGTCACTCTGTGTCCCCAGAGCAGATGGGCCGCATCCTGCAGCGCACTGCCATCTCCACCAACATCAAGGAACGCCTGGACTTCTCCTGTGCCCTCTTTGGACCTGACGGGGGGCTGGTCTCTAATGCCCCCCACATTCCTGTGCATCTGGGAGCCATGCAGGAGACTGTGCAGTTCCAGGTGCGGCAGGCCCCCTCTCTAGCCTCCCTCGCTGACCCATGTCCCTGCCCCACCCCCATTCTGCACCTGTCTCCTGGTTTTAGATCCAGCACTTGGGGTCTGATCTCCACCCCGGTGATGTGCTACTCAGCAACCACCCCAGCGCAGGGGGCAGCCATCTTCCAGACCTGACTGTAATCACACCGGTGAGGTTCACTGCCAGGCTACCTTTGTGGGGGTCACAGGTGGCTGACACAGCTGACTGTCACTCTCTACCCGCTAGGTATTTTGGCCAGGTCAGACTCGGCCTGTGTTCTACGTGGCCAGCCGAGGGCATCATGCAGACATTGGGGGTATTACACCAGGCTCCATGCCCCCGCACTCCACTGCACTGCAACAGGAGGGGGCCGTCTTTCTGTCCTTCAAGCTGGTCCAGGGGGGCGTCTTTCAGGAGGAGGGTGAGCCGGAGTGGGGCTGCGGTGGGGGTTCAGCAGGATGGGATACCTGGTTGCTGCCAGTGACCCAGCTGGCTGGACCCTGGGATACAGCCCAGCAGCCCAGGTCTGCCCTGAGGCTGGGGAGTGGCAAATGGTGACCCCGTGGTGCAGTTGCAGATCATCCCCCAGAGATGATTAGAGGTGAGATGAATTCTGTGTGGCCAAAGAAGTACTCCTTGGAGGTGGTTTGGGGGTAGGAAGTTGGCCAGGACACTCAAAGAGTAGAGTATAGAAGGAAGAAGGGCCTATTTCAGGTAGGTAGCTGCTGCAGTCCACACTGGGTTTGGGTGAAGGATGTTTGGGAACTCAGGGCTGGTATTGGATGGGATTTGGGGGGAGTGAGGGGTCAAGTTTGGATGAAGGAGGATGGAGGCCTTACACTGAACAGAGACAGGGAAGGTAGGGTCAGCGGAAAAGGTAGCACATGGTCTGAGGTTACAGGGGCATGGGAGTCCAGAGTAGCACCCCAGAACGAGGGTGGGTGAGTTGAGCAGGGTGGAGGGGTAGAAGTAACAGAGCCATGGTCCACTTTGGGTGTCACAGACACATATAGGGTGACGTTGGTCAGGGGTAGCTGGGGTAGGAGGTGTGGATCATGGAGGAACAAGTGTAAGTGTAAGTGTAGGGGATCAGTGCCAGGGAGCCTTGGAGACTGTAACTCAGAAGGGAAGGGGTGTTCCTGAAGAGTGTAGGAGTCTCTGGGTCAGATCTGCATCCCTTGCAGGAGTGAGAGGGAACCTTGTCCAGATCTGAGAAACCTGCAGGTTGGGGGATAGCACAGGCAGCAGTCTGATGCTCTTTTGAGGCACTTGGCTGGGGATGTCAGTGGGAGCTGGCAGGGCTAAGGGCATATCGAGGAGGAGGAATGCCAAGGAAGTGGCTTTTCTCCTGGGAGACATAGTAGAAGTGGGCTGGAGAAGGCAGGAGGGATAAGGAGGGAGGAGAGTTTGCTAAGGGACCAATATGCCCTCTAGGCATCTCCAGCTCCAGGGAGGTCACTGGCCAAGCTGCCCTTAGGCGCTGGCTATCAGAAGGATAAAAGGATGGAGGCTGGTGCTTCAGGGAATGGGAGTCAGCAGGACAGGTGGGGATTCAGTGGAGGGCCAACAGTGCCCAGTGGGGGTGCAGTGGGGCTGGAATAGGGCACCAGGTGGCTGAGGAGATGGGGGCAGCTCAGTGGTGACCTCATCCATTCCATCCAGCGGTGACAGAGGCCTTACGGGCACCAAGCAAGATCTCTGGTTGTAGTGGAACTAGGAATCTGCATGACAATCTGTCGGATCTCCGTGCCCAGGTGGCAGCCAACCAAAAGGGCATACGGTTGGTGGGGGAGCTCATCGGGCAATATGGCTTGGATGTTGTGCAGGCCTACATGGGCCACATTCAGGTGGGTCTAGGGGCAGGGAGGTGGGAGCCCCACTCTGCCTGCCCAAGGTGCAGGGCCACTCTGAAAGTAGCATGGCTGCCATGGGACCCTCTCCCTGCCAGGCAAATGCAGAGCTGGCAGTGCGTGACATGCTGCGGGCCTTTGGAACCTCCCGGCAGGCTCGGGGACTACCCCTTGAGGTGTCTGCGGAGGACCACATGGATGATGGCTCGCCTATACACCTCCGAGTTCAAATCAACCTGAGTCAGGTCAGACCTAGTTGGGAGACAGGGAGGGAGCTTTCTGCGCCACCCCACTGCTGATGCCTTCACCCTTCTCCTTCCTGGGCAGGGCAGTGCTGTATTTGACTTCAGTGGCACTGGGCCGGAGGTGTTTGGCAACCTCAATGCCCCGCGGGCCATAACGCTGTCGGCCCTCATCTACTGCTTGCGCTGTCTTGTGGGCCGTGACATCCCACTCAACCAGGTTCGCAGGGGGGTGGAGTCTGAGGTCGGTCCCTACCAGTGCGAGGTCAGCAGGTGAACCTGAGGCTGGAGGTCACCCTGAGTGTGTGTGGGGTCAAGGTCAGCCCAACGTGGACTGAGCCCGGGAGGTGGGCATGTTTCTCTTGGAATCAGAGAGGGACCCAGCCCCATTTGCCCCTGAGAGCTGCTTGCCCATGCACAGGGCTGCCTGGCACCTGTGCGGGTGGTGATTCCTAGAGGCTCCATCCTGGACCCATCCTCAGAGGCAGCGGTGGTGGGCGGCAACGTGCTCACGTCACAGCGTGTGGTGGACGTCATCCTGGCGGCCTTCGGGGCCTGCGCTGCCTCCCAGGTGTGATAGGCAGGCTGGGTGCGGCCCTGGGGGCTTCTGGGAACTCTGGGAGGGCGAGGGCCTGCTGGAAGCGGATCCCCGCCCCAGCCAGGTGCAGTTAAGGCTTGCTCCTGCCAGGGCTGCATGAACAACGTGACCCTGGGCAATGCCCATATGGGGTACTACGAGACGGTAGCGGGCGGCGCAGGTGCGGGCCCCGGCTGGCACGGACGCAGCGGCGTGCACAGCCACATGACCAACACGCGCATCACCGACCCGGAGATACTGGAGAGCCGGTGAGCTACGCGCGCCAGGGGCTAGGCAGCTAGGATGGGGCCGAGCTTGGGTTCAGCTGAGCTGAGCCCTTCGTACGCGTAGGTACCCGGTCGTCTTGCGCCGCTTTGAACTGAGGCCGGGCTCTGGGGGCCGAGGCCGATTCCGGGGCGGCGACGGCGTGGTCCGCGAGCTGCTCTTCCGCGAAGAGGCGCTGCTGTCGGTGCTCACAGAACGCCGGGCCTTCCAGCCATATGGCCTTCAGGGTGGGCGGCTCCCCAACCCCTGCAGACCAGTCTGTTCCCCACTCACTGCTGCATTCGCGCTCCCCCGCCAGTCGTGTTTTCCCCTGACTCTCCATCTCCTTCTCTACCTTTCCTCCCTGACCATCCAGCTCCTCTTTCCCTGCAGGGGGTGAGCCTGGCGCCAGGGGCCTAAACCTGCTGATCCGAAAGGATGGCCGCACTGTGAACCTTGGCGGGAAGACGTCGGTGTCAGTGTACCCGGGGGTAAGGGGTGCAGCCGTGCTGTTCGCCACTTCCCTTATTTTCCCCCATTCCAAGGAGAATGAACAGAGGTGCAGAAATAACCAGATAGCGAGTTTAATTTGGTTCCCGAAGGGCAGTGGGTCATATGCCGGGTCTCTGGGGTCCAAACGTTAAGATGATGAATGCTGCTCGGGCTGGGAAGGGTCAAGCCTGTTCTGAACCCGCCTCTCTCCACAGGATGTGTTCTGCCTTCATACCCCTGGAGGTGGTGGCTACGGGAACCCAGAGGACCCTGCCCCATCGCAGGGCTCGCCCCCACAATCCCCTGCCTTCTCAGAGCGGGGTAGTGTCTATGAGTACCGCAGGGCCCAAGAGGCTGTGTGAGGCCCCCGTAATAAAGATCCCTTACATCGCCCAGTTGTGGGACACGGCTGTCAGGCCAAACTCGTGCTCTGCCTTGTGGTCTGTGTTGCCGGCAGCATCCTTTGTGCCAGTGTCAGGAGAGCGCCGAAACTCGGAGCTGCAGGCCCACGGTCAGGTGGTCTGTGAGCCCCGCCAGGGCTGTACTAAACATAACCTGTTCCACTTCCTGGGGGCAGGAACCAGGTTGAGGGATGGTTCCAGTGCCAGCAAGCCCAGCAGTCCTGAACTCTGGCACTTACTGGAATCAGCACACTCCCAGGCATTTCCCGGTAGGTGATGTAGTCCAGACGCCGGCCCAGCCAGGGGTTAGCCCGACGGCCTCCGCGGGGAGGGCCTGCCAGGTAGAGGTGGCGCCCTTTCTCCTGCTCTAGGGCCCTAGGGGAGGGGCGTTGTCACCAAGGCTGGGGCGCTCCTCCAGGCGCAGCCAGCAGTGCTTGGCTCCCAGCGCTCCACTCACCTCCGCAGCATCTCCGGTGAGCTAGCTACTGATTGGTGGAGGGTGGAGGTGCTTAGGATGGTTCCTGTGGGGGGCGGGTGGGGGTGGTTGAATCAGCAGGTGCCTAGCTGATGAATCCCTGGAGGGGCCACCCCTCCCCCACCAACCCCCTGACGCATACCCAAGGCCCAAGGCTGATCCTGGCGTGTGCTCAGCCGGCAGGGATCCCGGAAACAGCGAAAGAGTTTGTGCCCCTGTTCCTGTGCGTGGTCTGCACATAAGACCAGCGTTCAGTGGGCGGGGCTGGGCCTTTTGGCCTCGCCTCCCCCAGCTAAGCTCCTCACCTTTTGAGCAGTTGTCAAAATTTAGGTCACCCAGAAGCACACTAAAGGCCACAGCCTCACCACTCTGGCGGCTCTCGGCCTCAAACTGCTCTGCCCAGTCCAGTAGCAGCGTCAGCTGTTTGCAGCGCAAGAGCCCATCCTCTACAGAAGGGGTGGAGGGTGGGGGTAGAGGTGTGCCGCCTTCTATTCGGCCCAGGTTGAGGATCCACATCCTGGACACCTGGTTCCCGCTAGACTGGGGTCTCTGCACCCACCCAGGCACTTCTTGGGAGTTGCCATTACTGGGGCAGTGAACAAAAAACAGTGGGCAGTGGGAAAGAGAGGTGCAAATAAGGGTAGGCCTGCTGCGAAAGAGGGGCCGTAGGAGGGCCTGGCTACCGTCCAACAATCCTTCCCACAGGGCTCACCAGTGGGTGCATGTAAATGCGTGCAATGCAGGAATCCCACTACGCGGTGCCCGTCCAGGATGCCCAGTTGCACCTGCAACACCACCGACAGTACCAGCTTTCATTGCCCATTCGGCCCAACAGCTCACCCCATCCAGGGCCAGAGCACACAGCCTGTGGGAATATACCTGAGCGGATAGTAGACCCTTGGAGGCAAAGGCGTCCTCGCGACGCGCATTGGGAAAGCAACGGAAGTTGGCACGCAGAAGCGGGTAGCGGGAAGCCAGCAGGAGCCCGCTGCCTAGCAGTTTTAAGTATGGCCCAGGCTGTAGGCCAAGTGTGCCTACGTCATACAGCACCGGGCCCAGATTCGGAGCCAAGCAGCGCACCAGGCGTCGAGCTGCGCGAATATCGAACACCTCCTGCAGGCACACAAAGTCCAGCCCCGCGGGCATCTGGGCCGTCAGCGTCCCGCCTGGCTCCCCAAGCCTTTGTGGGCTGCATCCGGTAGCTCCATAAAGCGAGGGCCGTAGGCCGTTTAACAGCGTAGCGCCAATGGCCTCTGCGCGTTGTTGGCTGTGTGGCAGATTGCTGAAGCGCGCCAGCCCGTCGGGGAGCAGGCACAGGTTGGCAGTGAGGAAGACAAAGCAGCGCGCAAACTCAGCGCACGGGCGCCAGGGCGTGGGCGGCACCCAGCACGGAGGAGGGGGCTGGTAGCAGAAGGGGCGGCGACAGGCCTGCAGCGGCAGCCAGAGTAGCAAGCCAGGCAACGCCAGCGGTAGGCCAACTAGCAGGAGCAGCAGCAGCGCCACCCCGCCGCCAGCTGCTGCTCTCAGCCTGCTGGGGCGCGCTGTTGGTGCCCAGCAGCCAATCAACTGGTCCAGAGCCCAGTAGGTCGGGAAGAGCAGCACGCGGGCCACGCAATGGAGGGTGTGCAGCCCAGGATGCGCAAAAGGCGAAGGCCGCAGGATGTCGTCGGTCACCGGAGGCCAGTCGGACTGGGTTTGCATAGCGCTCGGGGCTGTCTGGCTGAGAAGCCGCCCAGAAGACTCATTCGCTCCGAGAGTGCAAATCGGCGCGAGCTGCAGGGGTGTCACGGGTCAAGGCCACGTGGCACAACCTGTTTGAGGAACCGGTTGGGCGCTGTTCCCAGCAAGCCTGGCGGTTCCGACGCAGGCCAAAGCCAGGGTCGAGGAAGTCCCTGGTTTTACCTGCCCGCAACTTCGGTGGCTGTTGGAAAAACAAAACGGAAAGTGAAAAGGACCCTAGTCTTGCAGCCCCGCCCCAAGCCTATCTTGCTCCGCCCAGTCCACCCGAGGCTGCGAGGAGGAATGTGGCTCCGCCCCGCGTAAGAGGGGTGAGGGTTGAACCCGGCTGTTCATCTCCCCCTCCCCCCACCTGCCGGGTGCTCTCGCTACCCAAACCGCAGCATCCACCCCGCCCCTGCTGCACCCCGCTCCTGCCCATCTTTCTGTCCCTGCGGTGCTAGGGGACTGATCGCTAGCACCCAGCACCAATGGGAGACGGACTCGGGCTCAGAGAGGTGTAAACACTGCCCGGCCCAGATCCCCACAGTGTCCCCTCAAAGGGCTGGTGGTGGTCCTGTGATCCTACCCCAAGAAGCTTCCAATATGGGGAGAGAGACGGTTGGTTCCGCCCTGCAAGGCCAGTCTACCTGGGCACGCGAGCCAGGAGGGAGCCAGCTCCCTATTCGCTGAGCCTTCTCGCACTGACCCTAAGTTGATAGGACAGTGTGGCCTGGAGCTCACAGGCTCTGCTTGGCTCCCTTGGATGCCCACTTTTATAATTTGGACTGGTGAACCACCACCCACCCTGCCCTCGGCTGTGTACAGTGACTCTTAAACTGTCCTGCAGGTTTGGATTAGGGCTGCTATTCACCCAGGTAGGCAGGGAGGTGAAGGAGCTTCTGGGCCTCATCTAGCCAGGATGGTTCCAAATGTTGCTTTCTGGATCGACTTATTTCGTCCCCTTCCAAGAGGCTGAGCAAGAGACTGAGCTGTCTGGTTGGAACCCTGAAAGTCTCAGGAGGACTAGGAGCCAGGAGGGCAGAAGGCCATAGCTCCTGTGGCCTGGGCATCCCAGCAGGAGAGCCTCAGCACACCTGGCACCTGGGTTCCTCACTGGTTGCTGGCAGGATCCCTGTTTAAACCCAACCCCTGTGGCTTCTTCTTTCCTTGCTTTTGACTCACTGATTGGCAAACACCAATGTTCTAGGACCCTCCTCACTTGGGGGCCTTATTTCTGCCTTCCCATCTCAGCTCTGGCCTCTACAGCTTCCCTTAGGTAGTACTCTGAGCTTGCCTACACTGCCCCTGTTTCTCATGCTTCTTCTTTTTTTTTTTTTTAAACATTTATTTTTTAGTTGTAGTTGGACACAATACCCTTATTTTATTCATATATTTTTACGTGGTGCCGAGGATCGAACCCAGGTTCTCGCACATGCGAGTGCTCTACCGCTGAGCCGCAACCCCAGCCCTCTCATGCCTCTTTCAGCCTGTCCAGGCCTGCACCCCCCAGCTCACAGCCTTCCCATCTCACTCCACAGGCTACCTCAGGCATTCCATCTGACCCCCATCCATCCTTTCTCCTCACCTCTCCTGCTTCCCCATCCAACCTCAGCCCCAGAAGCTGGTAGTTCAGCCCTCCCTACTTCTGAATTCCCCACCCCAGATCCATGGACCCTGTGAAGGGGGTCTTTTCTTTCCAGACCTTAGGCATTTGGGGGAGGGGCTGCTTTCTCCCTGACTGCTCTCTGCCCAGGTTTGGGTGGGTAAGGCAGTTTTCTCCCCTCCCCTCCTGCTCTTCTCTCCTTTCCTCCCCTCCCCTCCTCCCTCCTCGGCTCTTCTCCCCTCCCCACTCTCTTCTCCCCTCCCCTCCCCTCTTTTTTCCCCTCTCTTCTTACAAGCTCTCTCCCCCTTTTGCAGTACCAGACATTGAACCCCTGAACCCAGGGGCACTCTACCACTGAACTACACCCTCAGCCCTTTAATTTTGAGACAGGGTCTTGCTAAGCTGCCCATTGGATTTGCCATCTTCCTGCCTCAGCCTCCCAAGATGGAGCCAGCTTTCTTCTGGTTGCTGTCGGGAGCCGCTCCGGAAATACATGCCCTTAAGTCCTGAGCAAGAGATACTGAACAACTATTGTGCCCTGCAATAACTTGGGCTTTACCTCCACTCCAGATAATGAGGCATGACTCCAGGAGTAGGGTTATCCACTGGGGTCAAGTTACACTCACCTGTTCCTTTGTAATCCTACCCCTTGCCCTTTTGGATAGAATGTTCTACAAAACAGCATCCCCCAATAAAAGCCAACCCCAGAATGTGCTCGCTCTCATCAGCCTCTCCTTTCTCTTGCTCCCCTTGTGGGAGCCTGAGATGGGGAGCCAGGGAAGCCGTCCTGAAGCTTATAAAAAGGTATTCTCTGTCTGCGTGGTATTTTGTGTCACACTAAATTCACATGAGTGACTTTGGTTCAGTTGCCTGCCTGGCCAGGGGCAGCAGGTTCGCCTCCCTCTACTGCCCTCCTGCCCTCAAGTTCCTTCCTTCCTGGCCCCTAGTCCCTGCTCGGCATGGAGGGAGGACTCCCTGCCTGCTTGCTCCAATCTCCTTCAGGATTCTTGCTCTTCTTGTTCCAAGTCTCAGAGGGCCTACTGCTTGCTCCCATCACCAAGTAAAGGGAACCTGGGGGACTTCCAGCCAACCCCCTTAGCCAGATGGCTGCTCAGCCTTGATCTGGGAGCTCCTTCCAAGGGCCCCAGGGTAAGTGTGGGTGCCAGGGTGGCAGGATTTAAGGAGCAAGGTGCAGGGGTATGGGGAGCCTCCCAGCTAACATCATAGGAGTGCAGCATGGGATCATTGACTAGCCTAGTATTTGTGGGAAGCTTTAATGGCCGTGTACAGGGGTGTGGGGCAGAGTGAGCCTGGCCAGCCGGGCACCAGCGTCACCAGATGAACATTGGCTTGCCATCATCGTGTGCCAGCTGATTGAGGCACGAGAGCAACAGCAGCGCGTCAGTGAGCATGCTGGGGTGCACTGTCTCCACCAGCACGCGCTGCAGGAAGTCCACAGTGTAGGAGCCGCCCCCTGATGCGGCCAGCTCAGGCCTCTCACGCAGGATGCCATACGCATTCACCAGCTGCTCTGTCAGCGCAGGATGTACCCGCCCATTGTAGCCCAGACTCTGCAGCCTGTTCATGATGCTCACGTAGCGCTGAGTGAGTGTCTGGCACAGCTCCTCGTCCAGCTTGTGGTCACTGGGGTTCAGGGATGCCTGTGGGGAGAGTGGTCTTCAGGAGCCCTCCTTCCTCACTTCAGCACACAGGCAAGGGGAAGAGAGGAGTAAGGGTGTGTGTGTGGTATGGCTGTTGACCACCCAGGGGGTGTGCAGGGAGGAGGTCCTGGGTGACAGGCTGGAGGGATCTGGTGGGTAGAGGAGCCCAGGGACTGAGCCTGACAGAGAAGCCCCCCAGCTCTATCCAGGCAGGGCCAGTGGCTCCGCCAAGTTCCTGGGATACCCCAATCCTGTGGCCTGCTCCATTCACCACCAGGAATTTGGGACTGGGCTGAGGACAGGGACTATGGCTGAAAGTCTGGAGGCACTGGGGAAAATGAGAGGCTCTTCAAACCCCCACAGTTGCCTGACTGCAAGTCTTGAGGCCTCTCCCAGGACCCCTCCTGGCTCCCCCCTCCCTGCTCCTTCTCAGTCTCCTCTGGAGGCCTCTGCTTCCCAGCCTGGACTCTGTCCTCAGGACATCCTGTCTCACACCCCTTGTGGGGTTTGCTTTCCTCCCGACACTGAATGAAGGATGCCAGCCAAGCACTCTGGACCCCAGCACTGAGGGTCTGCCACCTGGACCTGGACACCAGGAGAGTCCCTGGGTCTTCCCACCCCAGCCAGGCAGTGACTGCTGCTGGCCAGGATGCCCCTGATTGCTTGGTGCTTCTGTTGTACTTGTTGTTCTGTTGTTCTGGGCTTTCCTGACTGGAAGCTGAGGCTCTTCCAGACTTAGTTGTTGATGGACCTTTATTATTTATATGTGGTGCTGAGAATCGAACCCAGGGCCTCACACATGCCAGGAAGTACACTACCACTGAGCCCCAGCCCCAGTCCCTGGTTGTTAAATATTTTGAAGATCTCCCTGATTAGAAGGAACTTCATTCCCCTAAATGTATTTATTTTAAAACAAAGGAGATAAATAAAAGAAATAAAACAAAATGATGTAGGTACTCAACACAAGCAAGATAAATATCAAAACAAAACTAAAGGAAGTCCAAGGAAGGAAATAAAAAATAGCAGAAATTGGTGGCTGGGGTTGTGGAGTGCTCGTCTAGCATGTGTGGGCCCTGGGTTCTATCCTCAGCACTGCATATAAATAAATAAAGATATTGTGTCCACCTCTACCTAAAAAATAAATATTAAAAAAATAGCAGAAATTAGGAAACAGAAGCCAAAGGATCAATAGGATCAGCAAAACAAGATTGGTCAAAGTAGACTCACTTCACTGAAGAGCCAGAGCAGAAGTCCCTCTGCTTTTAGGTGAGGAACTCCCAGCCAAGGCCACAGGCCCCCATTCTGCAGTGGCCTGCACATCACTAAATTCCAGCCAATGAGATGAAACTGGTTGTGAGCCCTGCCTCCTGGTGGCTGACTTGGCCCCTGGACCTGAGAGTTATCTTACTAAAAAATAGGACCCCTTAAGATTTAAGGTTTGGGGCTGGGGCTCAGCAGTAGCACACTTGCCTTGCACGTGTGTGGCACTGGGTTCGATTCTCAGCACCATGTATAAATAAATAAAATAAAGATCTATCAACAACTAAGGGAAAATATTTTAAAAAAAAAGATTTAAGGTTAAAGCTAGGCGCTGTGTGCACACCTTTAATCCCAGTGGCTCAGGAGGCTAAGGCAGGAGGATTACCAAGTTCGAGGCCAGGCTCAGCAAAAGTGAGGTGCTAAGCATCTCAGCAAGACCCTGTCTCTAAATAAATTACAAAATAGGGCTGGGGTGTGGCTCAGTGCCCCTGAATTCAATCCCTGGTACTCAACTCCCATCAAAAAAGATATAAGATTAAGGGGGCAAAAATCTCTCAGCAGGGAATGAGACAGCCAGCCTAGCTCCAAGTCTTAAAAGATGCACCCCCAAATTAGGACTTCAGTAGTGGGCCAGTCTTCAAGGCCAAGGGAGTAAGATCACACTCAGGAGGATGGCAGGTTGGGAAGTCAGTGCAGCCTCCTGAGACTCTG